GAAGAAAGAAAGAAAGAAAGAAAGAAAGAAAGAAAGAAAGAAAGAAAGAAAGAAAGAAAGAAAGAAAGAAAGAAAGAAAGAAAGAAAGAAAATTTACTGATTTTAAAAAATGACAAAATTAGCACAAAAAGAAAAAAGAGGGCTAACAGTACATGCTAATTAAAGTATACAATTCTATGGGCTATAATGATTGAGCGAAGACATGTAGTTATTACACTTGACTGTAGTCAACAAGGGATGGAATGTCCCCTTAGACAACATGGTGAGAGACGTGTGGGCATTATTAGTGGTCCTTTTATAGACATTGCCTTTTCTTTCTCAGTGCTGACAAACCATTTTGGAGGGATTCATCCCCTGTTGCTTCCTATCATCGATCCCCATGCAAGCTCCTGCATTGTGCAAGTGCATTAATTAAAGACCATTCATTTAACAAAAGAACATTTGTATGTTAAGGAAATGAAGATTAAAAATATGAATCAATAAACTAAATAAACTAAGACCATAGTTTCCATACATATATCACTTAGATGAAGGGACAGGAAAACTAGGTTCTGCATACTGTTAAATACACTTCATTTAACCCCACGGAGCTGTCCATAAATATTGGTTCGGTGATCATTTTGTCTCTTTGGGACATCGCACTTAAATGTATTACAATTAAAAAGATGGTTTTTAAGTGTATTTATAACTGTTAGGTTTACGCATCATATTACTTAACCCTCAGCTCACAGGTATCCAGTCAAACATTTAAGTGAAGTCTTTATGCCCGCCTCTTACATGTCTATCGTTCTGAATGCTGCCAGCCTATGAAGAATAGTTTTAGACATGACAGATATGTCAGTACTTTCCCCACTGACACAGTACCATCTTTGGACAGTATGTGCATTTTGTAAAGCGATCGCTGTTGGATGATTGTCCACTACATTATACAGAAGTAGGTGTCTGAAATATATCAAATCTATATACATTACCCACACGTTATTCTTTGAATTTATGTCAGTGCAGCAAGTGCCATGAATACCACATGGCCGGAAGCCCACTTTCAATCTGATCCATTCTCATTATATTTTGCAAGCTGAAAAAAAAAATCAACATGGTTCAGCAAAACGCGTGGTAGGCTGTGAAGTTGATCACGACAGAAGTCTGAATTGTGCGAACGTAAAATAAAAATGATAAGACATCGATTATTATGTTTATGTGTGAAGGGAGTCGGGTTCCCAATGTCACCCAGATGACTTGTGAAGAGGCACCAGCTTTACTGAACCTCTGGGCCATATGTTGGTTTATTTGCACCCCACATCTTTTTTAGGATGTTGTATGCTGAATAGCATACCTAGGGTATAAATTAAAGTGCATTAAAATAAATGAACAAGAAAAAAGACTATATGTATCTAAAGTCTAAACATATTTAAAGACCAAACAAAAGCACATTGTTCCCATGATTATAATGGGGCCTGTTAACCAATTAAAGCTTTTTGTCAAAAGTCCCAGTTTCTATAGTTGAATGAAACAGTAGTAGTTTTTCTTGTGGATGGTTTAAAAGCTTTGCGGAATTAAACTGGAAGGACAATATTCACAGTAATAAAAACACGTTACCTAAGGGTTGTAAGCATTATGGCAACAGTTTATGGAAACAGTTTTGGTGCATGACTGAATTGTTTCAATCTCTTAGACGCATAAAACTAAATCTGTGTCCCCAAGTGATCTTACACATCTTGTTTGTATTGTCCAATAATATTTATCTACTGTAAATTTGGAGTAAGCTATTGCAAAAGTAAATATTAGCGTCAGACAGGTTTTACTTTAATTGGGACAATCCTCATTACTTGTATTAAAATACGTTTCGAGTGTATTTCCTCTTTTTATGAGGCAACATTTTTAGTAAAAAATACTAATTTCAGATTATTTTAATGCAACTATTACCAACAAGATTATGTCATTAGTAAGTCATATTATGGTTTTGGACCATTTTATTTGTAATGTGCACTATACATTGACTTCAAAAGTTATAATTATGGAATATA